CCTGGTCTTAGTCCTGGTCTCAGTCCTGGTCCTTGTCCCAGACTCAGTCCTGGTCTGGTCTTGGTTTAAGTCCTGGTCTTAGTCTCGGTCTGGTTCTGGTCTGGTCCCGGACCTGGTTTAGTCCAGGTTCAGTTCAGGTTCAGTCCTGGTTCAGTTCGATATCGCAGTTTAAGTAACAGAAACAGGAAATGGCCGTTATCCGTTTTTTCTTTTTTTTTTTTCCATTATTCATTTAAACACAAAATCGAAAACTGAAAAAACAAATCATTATCTGTTGGGTTTTTTTTTTTTTTTTTTTTTTTTCATTTTGGTTTTGGAGACAAATAATGAAGAAAATAATAGTTTTTTAAATTTTCTTATTTTAGGTTTTATTTTGAAAAACAAATGAATGATACACGGATTCAGTAGTGTCATTATTCTGATTGTGTTGTGATAGCGTTCTGAAGGGGGAGTGACTTAGCGCGGAGAGCAAATGGAGGGCAGACTCAGAGTGTCAAAAATGAGACATGACGGTAAAGCATAAAAACCACTTAGGCCCTCATAGCCTATTGATTGACTCAGCTGGGGTCAAACTTATTTGTTAAAACTATTTTTCGTGTATGGTCCTTTACATTTTTGTGTATAAATTAAGTGGAGAGAGGACGCGTGTGCAGAGAGGGTGATGTCACACGCCGTCTTGGACCCATGTCAGAGCTGTCAAGGCCGTGAAACTAAGGCTACGTTCAGACTGCAGGGCTTAACGCTCAATTCCAAATTTTTTGTGAAAACCGATGTTTTTGCAAGGTTGTTCACATTTCCAATTAAACGTGACTTGTATGTGATCCCCTGTGTGAACGTTAAACGGCCCGAAAGTGTCCCGCATGTGCACTGGAGACACGACGACGTCAACCGCAGCGAGCGTGCTCTGTGTTTACGGAAGTTGTCCAAACATGGAGGCGAGCATTGAGCACCTGGAGATTTTAAAGTTAAAGAAGAATGAGGTTTTTGGCCGTGGTGTTTTGTGGGGCAGTGGCAGTGACGTCCGTTGAAAGACGAGCCAAGAGTGGTGAGTGGTGATGTGCTTCACTTCAGTGACACGGAGTTCATTAACAATTTTCGCCTACTTCAAGCGCAGAATAGTGACATTTGTGTCTTGTTGATAACGTGTAGGTCGGATGAATGCGCTTTGGCCGTTCAGACTGAAATCGCATGTCAAAAGATCAGATATGTATCGGTTTCAGGACCACATATCCAAGTGTCCTGGGTCGCCTGGTTTGAAAAAATCGGATCTGTGTCGTTCAGACTGTCATAAAAAGATCGGATACAGGTCACATAGGGGCCAAAAAATCGGATTTGTGTCACTTCGCTGCAGTCTGAACGCAGCCTAACTCTGTGGAATCTATCTCTTTTTTGGGTTCTTACTGTTTTCATACGTGTTGGATTATTATTTCCCCACGGGAGCTGCTGGCCTTGGGGAAGTTACTGAACCGGACTGAAAGTGTGAAAGCGCAGGTATCGTGAGTACAGCCACCAGCATTACAAACACTGTACTCACACACAGTTTACTACGGGGCGTGCGTAAAGCTTTGGGGACTTGATTTGGTGAACGTCTTACGAACTGTTTATTGTTTATTGTATGATCGTATTATGTTCGGTGATGTCGTAAACTGGGGTGCACTCGAGGACGGGGAGGTGTTTGTTTTGTTTTTTTTTCCCTTGGCCATTCATTCATTAACATCTGGCAATGCCTATAAAAAGCTGGATACTTTAGGCCAAAAGCACCTATTTGTATTTGATTATTTCCCCCTCGCTGATGAAGAGATCCTCCTGTGACCCTAAACTAGTAGTTGTCACTTTTTCAACTTCAAGAACAGGTGAACTGTTACAAAAGAAGGGAAAAAGTAGGGAAAAGGCTCAGAGAAGTCGATTTTACAGAATAGGTCTGCTTTAAGTTTCTATTTTCCAATTCAAAAGGTACAGCAGTTAGTTTTGTATTATTAATAGTTATGGCAATTATCCTAATCATTCTTGAAACCCGAGGACAGGCCGCATTGCCAAAATCTGGTCCAGACACAATGTTCTTTCCAGTGGCAAGCAGTCATTTATTATATTATTGCATTTATTTAGAAGTGTAAGACGTTTTGATCATTTTTCTTCTCAAATTGTTTTCACTGCGCAGCTAGAACCTTCTACAGTACGACATCCAACTTCTCTGTCTGCATTTTAATCCATTACATTACAAAAAGATCTTGAGAAACATGTGAGTGGGGTCCCTCTCCACAGATCTGACTCGTAGCTTGGCCATTTGCTCAGTTGCGGAACATACGGCATGACAACATCACGACAAAATGCTGCACAGAAAAAAAAAACCAAACATTTAAAACAAACAAATGCCCTACCAGTGGTCGTAAAAATAACGATAAAATCCTAAAACAATAAAAAAGAGGCTAAGAACAATAAAGGAAATAAAACCAGTTAAATAAATAAGAAAATAAATAAATGAATGAAATGATAAAAGATGCAGAGGAGCACACAACTCACACCGTGTTAAAAGCCAGAGACGAAAAGTAGGTAGACGAGACTTAAAACTCTCCACTGTGGGGTGTGTGTGTAGCTTTTTGATTTGGGGTGCGTCGCCTTCGTGTTTCTATGGAGATGTAATTTTTCTGCCAGGAAATGTTCCACAGTGTGACATTAATCAGATCTACTTTACATTTATTCAGTTACAGGTGGTTTTATAACTCAAAAGTACTTAGAAAAACAGTTGTTTTGACTGTGAGCGGGGTCGTCTCTCCACAGATCTGACCTGTAGCTTGGTATGGTTTGGACATAGAAAGATTTAATGCCATACTGTGAAACATTCTAGACAAAGCAATAACATATACATGGAGAAAGGTTACACAATCCACAAAAATATAAAATCAAGGGTGGGAAGTAACGAATTACATTTACTCATGTTACTGTAATTGAGTAGTTTTTATTTTAGTAATTTGTAATTTTTTTAAAGTACTTTTTGAAATAGGTCATTTTACTTTTACTCGAGTATATTTTAACGTAAGTTTACTTCATTACATTAGAACCCACCCTTGTTACTGAGTGAAGTCAGATTGATGGAGAAAAAAATTAAATGCAAAAAAAAAAACAATCTGCTGTAAATGAAAGTAAATTGCACGAGCTTGTACACGTGGCATTTTCACCATAGAATGTTCAGTCATTGTACATAAACGTCAGTCTATCTTGGATCAACTTGGATGATGCTGGTGCCGAGTCACAGATCGAGGTCGTCGTGGACAGTATTCAAGGAGAAAGTGCACTGAATAATACTCAAGAGGAAAGCAAAGGAAACACTTGGCCAAACCTTTAACAGCTATATGTGTTCAAACACAAAATAGGGAATAACATAATAATGCAATGCAAAATGTGCCTCCTCCGCCGGACAGAGCTGTCAGCTCTCAAAACCTCCACATCACATCTGCAAAAGCATGTGGTGCTTTTGCCTGTGTATCTCAAATGGTATATTTATCGTTAAAATCTTAATCTGTTATACAAAATGTGCCTTTAAAAAACAAATTTTATTTTCCATCCTGATCACAGAACGTTTCAAGTGAAGCAGCCTAGAGTAGAGGAAATGAATCACCTCATGTTTACAAATCGGCATCAAATAACTGAAAGTAACTAAGAAACTTTTACTCAAACTACATTTTAAGTGTACTTTAAAAGTACTTTTTTTACTTTTAACTCAAGTAGATTTTTAGATGGTTACATTTACTTGTGTAGGAATTAAGCAAAGTAAAGATAATTTTACTTAATTACAGTGTTCTTTTTCCACCTCTGCATAAAATTAATATTACACGTGCTGATCTCAAACAAATAATGATGAGAAGGTTCAACATTTGTGGATCAGAAGTTCCACATAAGTTCATCTAAAAACAGTGAATGTTCTGTAGAGTTATATAGGCCCCTGCTCTCCATCTGAAACGATCACATCATGAAATCTTAAAACATGAATGCATCTTACAGAGCGACATACAAATGTGTTATGAGACCCATGAGGAGCAGGAGTCCAGCCTGTGCTCAGATGAGAGTGTGATCTGTGTGTGATCTGGCTTGAACCTTATTGATTTGTGTGGAGCAGTGCACAGAGCCATTTTCTCACAACATTTGGGCCCAAAGCTCAAACATCCCTCAGGGGAAAAGCCAAGAAAAGCAAGAAAACTGCAATTTCTACACCCGCTCCAGCCTCTGTGCAGCACAATACAGCCAAGTCAAATATGTGATCCTGCAACTATGGCAACTCTCACAATCTGCCAGTGGTTTTGGCATTTTGCATTGATCTGTCTATACAATACAAAAAACAAGTTTGTTAATAATATGCAATGTCCACCAGGAGTGATTATTTTAATAGAAAGTTGTACCATATTTGTTCTTTTGGTTTCCATTTTGCATATATATTGTTCTCCAGTTTTGTTTTGTTTTCTTTTCTTTGTTTCGATTGACAATCACAGTTAGAAATAAATCTACTGAGATGTAAAGTGTGAATACCTCTAATAAAAGTCCCAGAATTCTCTAGTGACCCATAGAATAAGATGGAGATGGAGTTGACTTGAACCGCTACACCCAATATTCCAATCATCTTATTTTTGTTTTGCTTGTTTTAAAGTGTGTATGCTTTGGTTTGGTTATTTTTTATATTTGTCTGTTTTTTTTGTTTTGTTTTTTTTAATGCAAATGCTTTCCGCCATGTTTAAAAAGTTGTTATTCTCCCACATGACAAAACTGACCTGATGTGCTGTAGTTTCATTAGAAGGATTCACGCTGATTGTGTTGTGGTAGCGATCTGAAGGGGGGGTGACTTAACACTGAGAGCAGAGGGAGGGCAGACTCAGTGTGCCAAAAACGAAACTGAAACTTACAAAACATTTTAATCAGTTGTTTTTGGTGAATATCACAGTGAAATGTAACACGATACAGTTACTTCCTCCAAGAAGTAAAATGGCTCCTCTTTAATGTTTGTTTTGCAGTTAAGATTCCGACTCGGAGGACATACATCGACCCAGAGACTTGTGAGGACCTGATGCAGGCCGTCCACGCTTTTGCCAAAGAACTGGACAACTCCAGCATCAAGATCGAACGCATCGTACACACAGGTGAGGAGTAATACTGCATGTACACACAGGTGAGGAGTAATACTGCATGTACACACAGGTGAGGAGTAATACTGCATGTACACACAGGTGAGGAGTAATACTGCATGTACACACAGGTGAGGAGTAATACTGCATCATACACACAGGTGAGGAGTAATACTGCATGTACACAGGTGAGGAGCAGTACTGCATGTACACACAGTGAGGTAATACTGCATGTACACACAGGTGAGGAGCAGTACTGCATGTACACACAGGTGAGGAGCAGTACTGCATGTACACACAGGTGAGGAGCAGTACTGCATGTACACACAGGTGAGGAGCAGTACTGCATGTACACACAGGTGAGGGTACTGCAGGGAGGGACATTACACCAGAGACAGATCTAACCTTCAGGGGGCCCTAAGTGGAATCTGACATGGGGCCCTTCATCACTTCACTGCCACTCGGGGTCAAATAATTATTCACATGTCACAACATGAAGCACAACTGTCCACACCAGCACTAAATCTATCTGTAATACTCCCAACAGAACATGTTGAATATAACAGACATGTTTCTAGTGCAGTTAATATATTCCAATTGGCTAAAGTGTAATTACATTTATGGATTGTGTCACGTTATAAAATATTATGTGGAAGTGACACACACGCCCCTAAACACACTCTAGGATGGTCTATAAATGAATACTTTCAACACACTAGGCCTGTACTCATTATAAATATGATAGGCTGCCACACTGCCATGCAAACGTTCCCTCAGTTTCACTTGATGATCACATTATTTGTGTTCATTAAATGCAGGAAACTTAAAATAAATGTATGTCTGATTAGCATATGAATGTGTGTATAATATACATGCAAATGTACACATAGCCTACATTAACACAAAACTCATTCATTATGCACGAAGCGCACAAGCACATCTACAGCTTGTTCACGGGTCATTCTGTCGCCTGCAAAGGCAAAGCTTCTCTTCTTCACCGTAGTAACAACTCTGTGCAGTCTAAAAGGGCTCAAGTCTTGACGTGAGACAACAGACATACGTGAAATAAACTTACATCATGCTGTCCTCATGTTGTCCTTGTGTTGTCCTCGTGCTTTTGAATCCCATTAAAGGGACAGTCAGGAATTTTGGACATAGGGTGTCATTTCCTAGTGAGCCAAAGTGTTGGAGACGTGTGGAGACACTTTTTAAAATATTCCATCGGGTCCTTGTATTTGCAGAGGTCACTGGTGCTAGGCTAGTGCATGTCAATGGCCATAGTTCTCCTGCCACTAAAAACAGTCTTACCCACTCCACAAAACACCTGAAGAAAATCTATTATTACACCAGACCGTCGATGTGAATGTCTGTGTTGATAGAATAATGTTTGAAATAAAACTAACCTTGTATCACATGAATCATAGCATGTTGAGGAACTATTTTCTCAGCAGCAGCAGAATTTTACTTTGCCGGTAAGATCGGTAGTAGGTGATATCAGTCCGCTGCTGCCAAGCTTTCTATCGGGAAGTACAACTATGGATCTAAATTCTTCAAATGCAAGGTTGATTTTACTTCTAATGATGATTGTGATCAACACAGACATTTACATGGACAGTCTGGTGTAATAATAGATTTGTTTTGGGTGTTTTGTGGAGTGAGTAAGACTGTTTTTAGTGGCAGGATAAATATGGCCATTGACATGCACTAGCCTAGCACCAGTGACCTCTGCAAATACAAGGACCCGATGGAATATTTATAAAAGTGTCTCCACACGTCTCCAACACTCTGGTTCACTAGGAAATGATGCCCTATGTCCAAAATTCCTGACTGTCCCTTTAATGGGATACAACATATATAAGCATTTTGAGTTGATATTTCGCAATAATGTGAATGATGATATGACCAGATGCCCCGATTTACCAGGACAGTCCCAGTTTTGACTCCTGTGTCCCCTGTCAATACACGTTTATCCAAAACCAGTGATTTGTCCCAGTTTTATACAAGAAATGTCCCAGGTGTCCCTATTTTGACCAATCTGAATAGACGAGTTTCAGCTGACGTCATTGTTATTAAAAGCAGGCGTTGCATGCTGGGAAATATTTTGGTCGGAGGCAAGAAACACGGTAGCGTCAAACACAGTGTGTAACCTTGCGTATTTATCCCTGATAATGGTAAATTCCTGCTGCATTATCGGATGCACAATAGAAGCACGGAAGAAGGAAAATGTCTTTTTCGTATTCCGTTTCCATCGGTCTGAACACTCTTTTCAGTAGGTTCGTTCAAGCTGGTTTGTGGCTCTGAGTTATGGTGAGAAATTGTGGATTCTAAGTTAGATTCGGATGTGAAGAAGTACATGTGGTAATTTCATCCTAGGATTTATCAGAAACTGTTGCTACATCGCTACGGAATTGTTTGTTTTGTCTTTCGAAGTGATTCAGAAATGGTTTGAGCGTGACCTTGTTTTTCTGGTATTTGTGTCCCAAATTCAGTTGTGGTGTGTAGTCCGGATGATTGATTTAACAGAAATGCACAAACCTGTCAACAAATGGGCCCAACATACGCGGTCTGAACTTGTTGGAGTCCACGGTTTGCTCGGATCTTCTACGTTTGCTCTGCGGATGTTTGAAAGCCATTTAATTCACCGTGGGCGGTTCTTTTCACTCAGAATATGAAGAAGATATTTTCCTTCTTCCGTGCTTTTATTTGTGCATCCAATAATGCAGCAGGAATTTACCATTATCGGGGATAAATACGCGAGGTTACGCACTGTGTTTGACCGCTATCGTATTTCTTGCTGCCGACCCAAATATTTCCCAGCATGCAACACACGCTTTTGTCAACAATGAAACTCGCCTATTCTGCCAACAGTAAAGAAAGACATATTGTCATTTGTTATTGTCACATGAGTCAAGAATGGACAAAGTTACACTCTTTTCACAATTTTATTTACACTAAACATCCCCACCCAGTGTCACCCATGCTCACTATTATTATCTCCCACTTGCCTGACCAGCCTGTCCCTTCTACATTCTGTTTGAAACTAGAAGGGAGTCTAACATTACTTTAGTTCAGTAGAGATTGGAAATTCCATAGCTGAAATGATCCAAATGATTGATGATGATGTTTGAGAGTCAGCCGAAATCTGCAGGGTTTGTGTGTGAAACATGTGAATGAAACAAAACACAACTCCAGGTCTGGGTTATTCCACCTCAGTTTACCCCCAAAATTGCTATTTGAATGCTCACATTGTCCAGTTGCAAAGAAAATTGGTGTACGGGTAAGTCATAGCCAAGAAAGCCAAAATCTCAAATTTTAGCATAATCGGAGTGACAGTTGCTGAGATAACGCAATTTTTATTTTTATTTTTTTTTACTTTTTTGCATGGTTGCCAAATTTCAGATGGCATTTACTCAGCAACTACTGGTCTGATATCAAAAGTGAAGGTATCCCAGGAATGGGGAAATCATAAGATGGGGGTAAGTCAACTTCTAGGTAAATTTGTGTGGAAATAAAAAAGAAAACCCCTCCAGATTTTTTATATGCTGTAGTAGACATATAGGGCTACATTTTTTCTATTGGTGTCATTGAGGTCGGGTGTGTCCCTTATTGGCAGTCATTCATCTCAAAAGTACTCAAATGCAAAAATAAATACATTTTTGATTCCTTAAGATTTCCCCTTTCCAGATAAATCTTGGTTTTTAATATTGGACCAGTAGTTGCTGAGTAAATGCAATTTGAAATTCGGCGAATACGCAAAAAAGTGAAAAAATTCAATTGCGATATCTCAGAAACCGTTGGTCCAATCAAACTAAAATTTGACATTCGGGCTTTTCTTTCCCTATACCTACATACCAAGTTTCATCAAAATTTGACAAAGTAGGGTTTTACTCATTGGGTGAACTGAGGTGGACTGACCCGTCTGTTTGTGATGAGGAAACAACATTATAACAGATCAGAAATCATGCGTAATATGGGCCCTTTAATGACTACAGTGTGTCCTGACCCATGTGACCCCGTGTGTCTCCCCCTGCAGGTGACTTCGGGGAGGTGTGCCGCGGCTGTCTGAAGCTGCCCAGTAAACGTGAGCTCCCCGTGGCCATAAAGACGGTGCGGGCGGGGTGCTCGGACAAACAGAGGAGGGCTTTTCTGTGCGAGGCCGGGATCCTGGGCCAGTTTGACCACTCCAACATCATCAGACTGGAGGGCGTCATCACCACCGGTAAGTCCACTGATCTGAACACGGGGGTAAAGTAAACTGCTCTGAACACGGGGGTAAAGTCCACTGATCTGAACACTGGGATAAAGTCCACTGATCTGAACACGGGGGTAAAGTCCACTGCTCTGAACACGGGGGTAAAGTCCACTGCTCTGAACACGGGGGTAAAGTCCACTGATCTGAACACGGGGGTAAAGTCCACTGCTCTGAACACGGGGGCTCTGTCTGCACGTCACACTACTCCCTACAGAGGGCGCTATTTAGAGTTCACGCCATTTTTATTGCTGTCCAAATTAGGGGTGCACCGATCCAGCGTTTTCAGTTCTGATACCGATTCTGGTACTGTAGCTTTAAGGATCTGCAGATACCTGATATACCAGAGACTGAAAACAGAATTTATTTCCTTTAAACTAAAATAAAAGACAAAACTGATCCAAATGTGTTTTGTGTCTGAACAGAACAACAAAAGTTCCAAATTTCTGTGCCAACTACAACCGGTCTTATTACAGCAATTTGTATGTTCAATCAGGATATTGACTGAACCAATATTCGGAAGCCGATATCCAATCCAGAAATGTTTTCAGTATCGGCACCAATATCTGATATCAGTATCGCATCAGTGTATTGTGTGCACTCTAAATTTCTCACCTTGAAAAGTAGTGGGCATTATTCGTCACTTAGATCAGTGAATACAGACCACAGTGCATTATGGGAGTGGGAAAAACAACAGCAGTATTGAACATTTATGAATGAAGCAGATAAAAGTGCGGGTTTATGATGCTGTAGATTCTGGTTATGAATAAAATGCTCTGAAATAATATAGTGTAAATGTACTAGGTTTAGCCGCTTCCCTTTACTCCAGCTGTTAGAAGACTGATCACTTCCACATCCCAGACAAAAATCAAACACTGCAGTCTGTTTATGTGAGATCCAGCGACACAAAAACTTGATTAAATACTTGTGTGTCAGTCTGATTTGATCATTATTTATCACAGAAATCAAGTTTGATTAGAGTTTAGATTTTTTTTTTTCCAAAGAAGCCATAGTCACGTGACCCGACTGTGGTGAACTGTATCTCTGTAGTGTCAGAATCTCTCGTTGAGTGAGTGCGTAAAGAGTCCTGTAAAGAGAGCAGGTTTATGTAGTGAATGAGGAGTTAGGGGACAGAGGAGACAATCAGACACAGACAGGGAGACATGAACATGTTCCCAAACTGTGGAATGGAATGGTCACTATCAGGAAGTTGTAATTGTCTGGCTGATTCCGAATGATATGTGTGTGTTTAGTGAGAGTTTAGTCCGAGCGTGTGGTGCTTTGGACGGGTCAGGTGAGAGGACAGGATGGATGGAAGGATGGATGCATTAGAAAGAAGAGTGTCGGCCGTTTTGAGAGGACAGATGGCAGTGGAGGTCCTGCAGAGACACAGCACAGGAAAAGTATGAGAGAGAAAGGGAGAGACGGAGAGAAAGAGAGAGAAAGAGGAGAGACACACACAGAGAGAGAGAGGGAGGGAGAGGTACAAGAGAGAGACAGGGAGAAAGAGGAGAGAGAGAGAGCGAGAAGGAGGAAAGGAGGTGAGACAGAGAGAGAGAGTGGGGACAGGGAGAGGAGGGAGGGGCAAGAGAGAGAGAGAGAAACTGAGAGAGAAAGACGTAAAAGAAAGAGAAATGGGGAGAGAGAAACAGAGAGATAACAGAGAAGAAGGAAAGACAGGGACAGAAAGAGACAGAGAGAGAGAGAGAGAGAGAGAAAGAGAGAGTGAGGAAGAAGAGCGAGACAGGGAGAGAGGGGGGCAGGGAGAGGAGGGAGGGGTAAGAGAGAGAAGGAGGAAGAGGGCAGGGAGAGAAAGAGACGGAGAGAGAAGAGAGAGTATATATATAGAAAAAGAGAGAGATGGGGTGAGAGAGGGAGAAAGAGAAAGAGGAGAGACAGAGAGAGAATGGGGGCGGAGAGGTGGAAAGAGAGACAAGTAGAGAGGAGGGCAGCAGGAAGAGGGGGGCTGAGAGAGAAAGAGAGAGAGACAGAGAGAGGGAGGACAGGGAGAGGAGAGAGAGACTGAGAGAGAACGAGAGGGGAAAAAGATAAACGGACAAGAGACACGCAGAGAGAAAAAGAAAGATAACAGAGAGAAAGAGAGAGTGAGGGGGAATAGAGAGACAGAGAGAGAGGGGGACAGAGAGACAGAGAGAGAGAGTGGGGCAGGGAGAGGCAGGAGGGTTAAGGGAGAGAAAGAGCAAGAGAGGAGAGATAGAGATGGAGAGAGGAAGAGAGATGGGATGAGCGAGAGATAAAGAGAGAAAGAGGAGAGACAGCGAGAGGAGAGAGGGGCAAGAGAGAGAGGGAGAGAGAGAAATGGGGAGAGAGAACACAGAGAGATAACAGAGAGAGAAAGAGAGAGTGAGGGGGGAAGAGAGAGACAGGAAGAGAGGAGGGAGGGAGAAGAGACAGAAAGAGAGAGAAAGAGATGGTGAAGAGTGAGAGATGGGGTGAGAGAGAGACAAAGAGATAGTGAGAGAGGTTAATGGGAATGACAGCAGAGGTATAGAGTTTACACTTTTGTTTCTCAGATCACATATAGAGAAAAGTCAAGACAAAATAAGTGAATGAAAAGTCTGGTCTTGTTTTGTAGTGGAGATGATAAGTGCAAGTCTGTCATAAATACAGACGGGTGCCTAAACCCGACACACACTACAGGAGAATTTGCCCGATTTTGGCTGCGATTTGCTTCTCCTCACCTTTTTTGTCTTTGTGTGTGTGTCAGTGGGACTCTGAGCCGCTCTGTCAGATCGTAACCGCAAAACATCAGAAAAGTTACGGCAACAGCCAATAAAACAGAGCGTCAAGGGCAGACGAGTGACGGGACACAGAGACGCAAGACACTAACTCGGGAAATAGCAAAAATAATTATTACTCAGCTCTCGTAAAGTGATCAATTTAAACTGCAGCATCTCATTTCATTTCACATTATCTGTAGAATTTGTCCTCTGCAAATAATGACATCCAGTCCACAAAACAGCACTATTAATCCAGTTTGAGGCGTTCTTTAAAAGTAAAAAGGTGAGAGTAGTTCCTCACATGTTTGTTTACATCCACACAGCGCACGGATCAAAGTGAAGCTGCAGATTTAGCGATCGAGACTCTACTTCCTGTGAACTTTATCGACAATCTTTTATACTTTAAAATCATGTATCTGAAGTTTTGCACTACATTTTGCAAACAATAATCACACAGTTTTGACTTGCATCTAAGCTACAAGTGCAGAACTCTGATCTTTTGAACGCTTAAGAGTCTCAAAGTGAGTGGTTTTACTGTAGACAGGAAACAGCTGACACGATCACACTCACAACTTTATATCCTGTGGTCCGTAGACAGATTCCGCTGCAGTCTTTGTGATCAGAGATGTCGTGTGCACTTTTTGTCGCACGTTTAAAAAGCATTTAAGACAGAAAAATCCTGTAGTGTGTGTCTTTAGTGAGGTTTAGGAGTCTCAACCAGAAACTCCAGAGTTCTATATTTGTTTGTATATTGGTCATATCTTTGTGTAACATAAAACTGAAGAATGGTCAAATCAAAAAGCATATTTCCTTAAAGTGAGAGCTAGTCAAGGTACGTTTTCATTTACATAAGCTATAAATGATAATAGAATTAGTGATATAATGATATCCACATTTCTCGATATTTTAACAAGATGCAGTTCATATTTATATTTCGTAGAGAAAATTGTGATTGCACTACTTTTTCCTTTAAAAATGCCTTGGTAAACTTTTAGTTCTATCATAAACCAAAAACCGAAGATTGAAAAGTGCTTTATATGTTATTTCATCGTGTAAATTGGACTGAAACAGAGCAAAGAATCATGGTATATGTAGTTCCTTTGTTGCACCATTACAATGCGTTTAAGCAAAGTGACTTGAGATTTGATATATTGTCATGGCCCATGATACGAGAGACTTTTGACAATATAATATTGCGATATTTTGGTTATTGTTACATGCCTCAGTACAATGCACTCATTTGAAGCATTGTACTTTATGAAATGTTTCTGATAGATCTAAGAATTTGCTCATGCTCATTTAAGTCTGTAGCAAAGCCCACAATTTGAGTAGTTAAGTTTATACATTAACTTTTCTGTTTTGTAAAAAAGCAATTAAGATGGAAATAGAAGAGCAATTAGTCTTAAGCTATAGCAAATAATTATGTTACTTGTTGTGATAATTGTTTAAATTACTGTACAGTCACCTTCTATTTTCATTAGAGAAAGAACAATATGCTGAGAAAAATACTGGTGTTAGTCACAGGTTGCTGCTTCCTGTTATAGACAACATTTTGAGGATTTTTTTTTTTACTTTCTTACATGTATTTTGTCTTAAAAGGACACATATTAAACTATTTTCTGATCTATGTTCTAATGGTGTTTCCTCATCACAAACAGACCTGGAGTTGTGTTTTATTTCGTTGAGTGTGTATCTGTACATGTGCTCAAGTATCCCGGTTATGATCAGGTTTTTTGAGTATCTTGGTTTTGTGAGTGTCCATGTAGACGCAGTATTCTGATTTCAGTCTCTGATTTCAGCCAGTATCTGTGTAGTATATGATGAGAAACCAGACCAAACTCTTACTGGGATTTTCTGATAGTATCCAGAATATTGTAGCATGTAGACGCATTATCCTGATTTCTCAAAATTGGTGCTGTACTGTAGCCAGGCTGGCGCTACTAGTGCCTCTGCTCAATTTCATTTCTCTCCAGTCACTAGATCAGGGATCGAAATACACTAAACGGTTTGCAAGAACCCTGGAAGTAGTAGGCCGCACATCGACCGATCAGCAAAGCCATGATGTCAAACTCCTCGTGTCTGTCTGGGTCCCTTTTGTGGTACAACACAACAGTAAACAAAGTATCGAGATGGATGTAGACGAAGACAGACATTCTGTGTTGGCAAGGATTCCTGAGATCGAGGATTTAAAGCTGGAACAAAGAGAATGATTGAATTTTATCAAGGGGC